CATGACCTACATCTACTTTCGATTCCTCCTCCGTTGAGACCACCAACATCCACTAATGGTTTTCCTTCAATAAGCAAAGACTAACTACCCTTCTACAACTCTTTTTCCTTTTCACAGATTTAGGAGACAACCTTTATAAGCCTCACACCCCTCTTAAAATGATCATAAAGCTAAAAAAAGAGAAGGACACTTAGTACTTTTTCAATACTTTTACAACTCAAAATCTCATGACTTTTGTTCATATTTTCATTATCTTTCATGTAGGAAAGAGTGGGGTATTTATAAGTCTCGATAACTTCAAAAATAAAATCAAAAAGTGTCTCATCCTTGGTTTCCGGGGTACTAGTGGTACCATCACCATTATTGGGTGGTACCATCACATGCAAACTAACACTAAGCGGAATCACTGCTCAGTCTGGACAGTACAACAGATTGATAGAGCCTCAGAGATTGGCTTTTGATAGTACCATCACTTGATAGAGCAGTACCACTACTTAGCAGTATTAACTATCGACGGTACCATCGCCCAAACCACCTGGGAGGTTGAGCCTTAAGCGATTTCACTGTCCAGCCTAGACGGTGCCACCGCCTGACATGGCTCCAAGTGGCTGAATGGGCCATCCAACCAGCCCAATTCAACCTTATTTTGGATCTGATTGATCCGTAATTGAGTTAGTAGGATATCTCCTAAAACTAACTCAAATAAAAGTCCTAACTATGATAGTTAAAGCTAACAAAATTACGATACAAACAATCTAAGTTATCTAACATGTCAATTATTCAACCAAACTCTCGGTGAACTTCTAGTGAGCTTTTGGCGAACACCTAGTAAACTTTCGACGAGCTTTCGGCGAACCCCCAATGAACTTTCGATGAGCTTTCACTGCATCGTTCGATCCTTCGATGTATCCCCCAATTCATCCGATCCGATGCCCGATCATTGACTCCAATCCGGCCTACCATTTGATTCTTCTTTAATTATTTTATCTTTCTCATGATCGTAGTTAGTTCTACATCACTTATCTCAACACATAGATTAGATCATTAATTTATCAATTGATTTCATCATCAAAATCCGAGATTCAATAGTTGTTACTAATTTATATGCAATTAGTCATTTTTGGAAACTAAGAAGACATGAAATAATCATTGAAAATCAAATAGATTATTTGGACTTAAAGCCAATTATTGTTATTAAGAGATCTAAAAAATATTTTTAACAAGGTACTAATAATATTATATGGTAATTTAGAAGAATATGAGTATATGGCTTGTAGCTATAGTATATCGTAGTCTTCAAATCATTGATGAAATTAATAAGGCACACAGACATAAAAATCATGTCTAATATCATTCAATGATATTATATCATGCTTTTGATTAATGGTTCATGAGATTCAAAGAAATTGATAACGATTGTGTTTATCTTTTTGTGGCTTTCTATATACGTATCAACCATATTTTAAAGCTGAATATCTTTATAGCTTCATTATGTGTGTATTCAACAAAAAAAATCTACTATTAGACTTATGGAAAAAGTCTATACACATGAAATTCTTAGAAAATTTATGCACAGAAAAATGTAATTGTATATTTTTATTCTTATGTTGAAAATTTAGATCTGACAAGAATACATTTGAGAACTAGAAATGTATTTATGTAAGTTTGAAACACAATTAAAAGCTAAGCATGTATTTATAGTTCGTGTTATGGAGTATTTATGATAAGGCTTGTCAAGATCTATGTAAGAAATTAGAACTACAAATTTCATAACAAATTTAATATTATTGTTGTTAATGTATGTGTAGAAGTCATTTCATTGAACATAAGAAGAGCTTTAATAATTCTTGGAAATCAAATGGTACATTTGGATCTAAGCCTATTAAATCATGTCTAATGTCATTCAATGATATTATATTATGTTTCTTTATTAAGGGTTCATTAGTTTCATATAAAATTTAGTGTCATTTCCACTAATATACAAGTAGCTAGTCAAAATATGCAACTTTTAACAATAATTGAAAATCAAAATGCTAATAGGGACCTAAGCAAGTAATAAAGAATCCATTTGTCTATATAAATGATATATAGTTACCATAATCCATTTGCACTGCACAAGTATTTAACAAAGTTAAAAGCAAAGAATGATTTTATAGTTAATGGTATGGAGTAGATGTGATAAAGCTTGTAAAGATTTATTTAAGAAATCAGTACTACAATGTCCATATTGTTATGATCAAGAACGATACTAAGAGAGGGGAGGGTTTAGTTTGAACTAGTACAGTGGATAAAAATAATAAATTTAATCAATTTCAAAAAACTTCATACGATGAAACTCTTAGTTGTGACCAAAAGAAGATGAGAGAGATTATTTGCGACAAAAAACACAGAAGAAGAAGAGGCAAAGAAAGTGCCTACAAACACATTTACTCCAGGTGAGGTTTCAGGTGTACCGGACGCTTCAATAACAGAGAAAGCTCCTCCACTTTCGAACAAATCACCGCCATTAAGGTAATTTTTCTTTATTGTTGTTGAGCATACAATAAAGAAAAGCTCTGTCTCTCTCTCTCTCTCTCTCATACGGCAATGTTCTGGTTCCTGAAAACTTGGATGCTACATCTGGTTCATCGGTTAATTTTACTGAAACAACAAAGGTGTTTGTGATGCTACATCTGGGATGTGATCCCTGCACGATGCTCACTGAGACATGAGAGAGAAACCAAGTTGGGTCTGCAATTTCGCAGTTGACATTCATTTTGGACTTTTCAGGTGTTTGTGTAATTCAGGGATTCTACTGAACAAAGAGCTTTATATGGGAATTGTCATCTTCCATGAGATTGTATAACATGATGCTTCCACTGTGTTGCAGAAGATGACTTTATCCAGCATTAATTATGGTTCTGATCTTTTGAACTTTACGATTCAACTTGGCAGATCATGTACCCAGATTTTATAGGTAGGTATTCCTCAGCACCTGTCATCCTTCTATTGCCAGGTGAATGCAAAGTCTGCAATGATCTCATCCACGAGGTCTGTGTAAATGATGCTACTGATAATGCTATTAAATTGCATAAAAATTTGCGTAATCCATTTATGGTTTCTTTGTGTTCGTCGTGAATCACTCTATTTATACTTATTCCTTGTGTGTGCTTGGTGTTCGGGTATAAACTAGACAAGTAATGGTCACCAGCACAAGTATCTAACTCTAATCATGAATGAGCTTCTTTGTGCATTAGCTGTCTGTTCTTTGTTGCTGCCACATTACTGTAAATTAAATTATAGTTTCTTAATGGGTCATGTTCCTTGTCAATTGTCCACTAGTAACTTTGCTGTTTTCCCTAATTCTTGATGTATTTTCTCTTTAAGGGTTTTTTTTTTTCCCCCAAGGTTTTCTTCTCCCAGGCCATCGGTTAAATAGCTTGATTGTGTGTAGGTCTCAAACCATCACTTTTGAGTACTGGAAAGTGATGAGACATCATGAAACGAGTCTTTTCTGGAAGCAGCAGCTTCGAATGATATTGGAGGCATCTTTCTGCTGGCAAGAGAATAATAAATACATCGAGTCCTTTTAAGCAGCTTCGTCTTGGTGTCTGTCCAGAATGAAATCTTTTTATGGTCGTCGGATGCACTTGTTCATTTAGTTGGTTTGGTTGTGTACAAATGGTAGCTTTCTTGCCCACCACTATTAGTATCTCTTCTCGTACTACTTACTACATGTTGATTCGAATTACTTGAAATAATTATTTGAAAATGGAACTCTTGGAATTGAATCATATAGAGATGCCTTTTAGGAGTTAATGTTGCCTCTAGAATTCTGCTATTATAAAATTTTCATCAAGGATATCTGGGAAAATTCTTTCAGGTATACAGAAGTGAGACCTGCAGCGGTAGCTTAAAGAATTGGAGGAACTGAAAGCGTGAAGTGCTAATAGCAGGAGAATAGCTCAGTTCATTCTTCAATTTGTTCCAAGAAGGTTTTTCTTTTTGAGGGCCATCTTCCTCTGTTTACTGCAGATAAAAGAATTAGGTCAAATAATACAAGGCAAATTTTTGAAAGAAAATATTTTGAGAAATTTTTACGGAACATCTTAACTTTTAAAAATTTCTACCGAATGTCTTTTTTTTTTAATGATCATTTTATCATTAGCCCCCATCAAATCGCCTCCCCTCACGTTTATTCTGTTTGATCTGTCTTTACCTCCGCTCATGACCCCCCTTAAATACTCTCTTCTTTCTCGCATCTGATTGACGAGGGTCTTCTCCTTTCACATGTAAGGACGGTCGCTACCACACCCCCTCTTTCTTTGCACAAGAGCAAAACGAATTCGGTAGGATTCGTAGAGGCGACAATAAGTCCAACGAGATAAACAAGAGAAAAGACATTGATGGAGGTGACGAGATAAAAATAAGGATAAATTAATCTTTTTTAATTATAAAAAATAATTTATGAGAATTTTTGAAGGTTAGAATGCTCTATGCAAATTTTTTTATCGAAAATTCACACATGATGCGATTGAGAGACTATTTACAATTTTAAAATAAAAATTCTTGTGAAGAGTAAGAATTATAATTTTATTTGGATTGATGTGTATCAATCGGTCTTTACTTGGTTGGGCAAAAAGTAATGCACATATCATCCCCATTTTGGATGGTGGGTGATTCTGTCCTATCCAATAATTTTATAGATATCGGTTAAGGTTTATGATTTTACGAGCTCTCTTCCCCGTGCTAATTATATATTATTTTATATATTTAGATAATCATAATATTATAATTTATATATTTTAAAATTTATATTAATTTTTTTTAGTTATGAAAGTAAAGTAATTAATTTCATTTTTACTAACACCGTCAGCTGCGTTTAAAAAGACACATCACGCGACTTGTACACATAAAATAGGCAAAACGGTCCTTTCACTCTTTTAATTCAATGGAAGAAATAGGCGGTAGCAATAGGGTGGGGCCAAGTCGACCTCCTGGACTTGGACCTCCACGTCGTCATGTTCCCTTACCTCGCGTTCGGCCACATCAACCCCTTGCTGCAGCTCGCACGCTCGCCCTGCGCTACCGGGAGTGGCGTGCGCATCACCTTCCTCTCCGCTAACGCCAACGTCCCACAGATCGAGTCGCTTCTCCCCGCTTCCATGTCTACCTCTGTTGTCTTGATCCACCTGTCGGCTGTGCTCGGCCTGCCCTTGGGCGTCGATAGCACGGCCGACCTCTCCCCGGCGTCACCAGCGGCCAAGCTCCTCAAGCCCGCCGTGGACGGGACCAGGCCCCAAGTGGAGTCCCTCCTCCGTGAACTCCGTCCACACCTAGTCGTCTTCGACTTCGGCATGCAGTGGCTGCCAGAGGTTGCGGAGCCGCTTGACGTGTGGACGCTCTTCTTCTTCTTCGTCTTCGTGGTGATCTCCACCGCCTACCTCACCGCCCCCGCACGGCGCGTCCACGGCCCCGCCCCGACTCTCGACGACATCATGTCGCCCCCTCCGGGCTTCCCGCCCAGTCTCTGCAGTAACGGGAGGTAGCGATGGCGTGCACCGTCGCGGCGGCCAGAGACGACGCCTCCCTCCTCGCCCAGATCGCGATGATGGAGGTGGCAACGTCAGCGAAGTCGGCAACAGCGGTGGCGATGGTTGTGGACACGAAGGAGGCGAGGGTGCGCCCGGTTCACGCGCTGTTGGCGTGCGCAGAGGCCACGTAAGCCCACCGCCCGTGTACGATTTGGTTAATGACTCAAATAACCCTTTTATCATTCGTAAAATTGATAATTCAGCACATCAATCAATCGATAATTCCGTCGGTGCAATTGACGAGTTAGAAAAATGAGATCAATTATTTTACTTTATAATTATAAAGATCTTGATATAAATTTTTAAAATATAAGAATTATAAAGGTTCCAATATATGAGATAATCTATAATTATCGAAATGCTATGTGAAAATTTTTCTAAGATAAAAAGTATAATTGAGAGGCTATATGTAATACCGAAATAAAAATTCTTCTGAAGAGCAAGAATCATAATCTCATTTGGATTCATTCGTATCCACCCGCATTTATCTGTCTGAGCAATGAGCAAAAAAGGGTCCACGGATCATCTCCATTTCGGATGATATCCAATTAAAACAAAAAAAAAATTGTAGTTGTCAATTAGGGCTCATGATTTCGTGAGCCCTCTTCTCCCCCGCCGAACATCGCACGATTTCTCGAGCTTACTGTTGGTCGCCGCATTCCTCTTTCGGGTGCGCTTCCTCCTATTTCCCCTCTTCTTCCAAACTCTTCCTCCTCTTCTTTATTCCTTTATATCAAGAAAAGATAGGAATTCAATGGATAGTCTCCTCTTTTTCCTTCTGCCCTTCTCGTCTTCCTTCTGAATGAATTCAATGGATATTCTTATCAACGTAATTTGAAGAAATCCTTTTCAATCTTAATGTTGCCGCACCAGCTTTACAACCCAAGGAAAGGAGAAGAACAGAAATTGAAAGAAAAGAAAGAATGTTCTAAACACTGCAAAACAAATTTCAATCCCCTATCGCGCTACAGAGGAAGAAACAGTGTTCCTCACCTTCTCTCTTCTTCTTCTTTCTTGATCACCCTGTTTCTCTCGTTCAGTGTCATTCATATATATACAATTGTCCGATCCGAACTTGTGTTTCTTCTGCCTTCTTGTATTTGCAGGTTTAGTTAGTAGGAAGAAAACAGCTGGTGGGGAAGAAGCAGAGATGATGGGCTCGACGGCGACGGTGAAACAAAGGGAAACGAGTAGTAGTCGTCGTAGTACGAATCCGGGACACCAGCGGCGGCCCACATTTGATCGTCGAGGGCGTCCTGCGTCTCCTCCCCAACGAGCTGCGTGCGGCACAGCGGGCAAGTCCGCTGGTCGTACTCCAGCCACCGGTCAAGGCAGCCGCGGTGGAAGACGTGCCTGCAATTGGTCAGCCGCCGGACCTCCTCCGCGTCCTCGAACTCGCACAGGCAGACCGCGCAACTGCCGCCGACGTGCTGTCCCGCCGCCACCAGCTCCTCGTACCGCACCACCGGGAGCGCCTCCTGGATCAGCATCGCCGACACCGACCGGAATTGCGACGGTTGCTGGTGGTAGTCGTGGTGATGGTCGAGCCGGCTGTGGCCGCTGTTCTCGGGCCAGGGGGCGTCGGAGTCGACGAGGTCACCGAGGCCGACCGCGTGGAAGACCCAGAAAACGAGCCGCCGCACGGAGCCAAGGATTAGGGCTATGTGGAGGAGGATTCTTGGCAGCAGAAGCAGCTCCAAGTAGCCCGCCGGGAACCCCATGTCGACACCACAAAGAACACGCAAGTATCTTCTCCTCTTCTTCGATGCTCCACTTCGAAGGACTTCCTCCTCTTCCTTGGTGCTCCCCCAAGATCTCACGGTGGGGGTTGTGGCTTGTGGCTTGTGCAGGGAGATGTGACCACCCGTTCCACTAGGGTGGGCGATTTATAAGCAGGGAATTGGGCGAGAATGACGCGGAAATCCAAAGTGAATCAGGCGAGGAAGCTGCGTGGTAATCGACAAGCGGAATTGTTTGCGGAACGAGTTGGAAAGATGTGTCATATGATGCCCTCTTTTGTTTGTTGTAGGAAGGAAGACAAGGATGGTTTCAGGAAGGTGCGAGCCGCTCGAGCTGTCTATTCTATGCATTTGCTTTGACGTCCATTGGCTGTTCTACTTTTGTCTCGCAGGGGGCCGCGTGGTCAACGGCCCGCAGCATGCCACGTCCATGGACTGGGCAATGGCGAGGCTGTCCCATATCAAACACACGGGTAATCTGCAACCGTGTCCTGGGGGCCACACTGGCAGACAATTCCGTCTGGTCCTTCAATGTTCAACCTGTTAAAAGTATGATGCCCTTCGTTGTGCAGGAAGCACATGGAAGTAGCGATGTACGCATGTCAGCAGCTGCCGTGGCGGTGAGTTGTTTTGGCATGGCTGGTGTTTTCCAGTGCAAGTTGGCTCGCCCGCGATTCCATTCCCTTCCCTGGTTGGGACTTGATGTTGGAGCTACTCATACTACTCTTTTACCTCGGTCTTTGAGAAAAACAGCCAAAAGAAGGGGTGGATACATCCTGCTACTTGCTGACCAGACTGTTGATCCAACTAAAACATCCAAGGTGGGATATTATTATATATGATATCCACTCTGCGGACACTCGACTATCACGACGGACTTAACACGCTATTTCAAGACTAATGTGGTACATCGAGTCAACTCAACACCTCGATGCAATCACCTACCGTTTATGTCACAAGCACACTCCACTAACACTGCTCGAGGTTGTACGGAGCAACGTATCCCTGTCCTGAGCTACTTTAGAGGCATAAAGTAACGTCGATTGAAGTAGAGCCGAACAAATCAGACTTGTGCCCGTGTCTCAACATACGAGCTGACCACCCATGGCGACGGTGCCTTTAAACACCTATGTACGAAGATGCCAACAATCATTAACATTTACGTACGTCAACACATGACAATAGGTATAAAAGCCACTCTCAGGAATAGTGCTAGAGTCGAACCTCATACACACATATACTACAACTCTCCCATCTTCAACTCTTGCTTACTTAAACATCAGAGGGTCAAGTTGGGAATCCCCCTTCTGATTTTGACCTGTGTGCAGGCATCCGACAGACAACTAAATGAGTGATCTTCAACCTCCACTTGGGAGAACGAGGCCTACGCCCCATCAACCAAACCTCGGGTTAATACACTCCAACTCAAGCTGTGCTGGTGACCTTGTGCACTCGAGACGGGCCAAGTCATGCTGATACCTCGATCACGATATAAAGGTACAAAACATTTTTGATGCTAAAAGGAGGGTCCATATTGCAAGAACGCCAACCGTCGACCAACCTCGGCGAGCGTCCTGGAGAAGGGACGCATGCAACCCCTTCCACTTTCGACCTCGGGGGACAACTCCCTCTCCCTCCGCATGCAGATGGAAATGCTACGTCCCAGACCCTGAGCCACTACTAGAGGTTGTTTAATGACCCCAAGCTCTTTCCCCCAAGGGGAGCACGAGACCCTCCGTCATCTCCGTCGAGGTATTCCTTAGCCTCACCCATCAGGTTCAAGCTTTGATTGGGATGATGCAAATATCATTCCCCTTATCCCCCAGCTTTCTCACCCAACAGTGCCATCGCAATTGCCCTTGCTTGTGACCCCACCAACTCTCTCCCCTGTGCCTAAGGACCCTCCCACGGTCGACCGACAACCCTGAGTGGTGGATGTCTGCCCGTCAAATGAAGAATAGTCAAGAGGCCGAAGACTGACACCGGAGTACGGTACCCCAAAGGCCCCATAAGCCGCCATGAGTTGTCTAAAGTCAGACACTCTGTCATCTAACTCAACTAACTCTTTCAGGGCTCAATTGCACCTAGTTAATCGATGCCTAGATGAGGTCCAGAGAGAGTTTCACAAGTCGAAGGAAGAACATGGGAAAGACAACTTCGGGGGATCTCCTTTTGTCTTAGAGATCCAAGACAAGTCGATTCCCCTCAATTTTTGCTTCTCGACATTGGAGGCCTACGATGACTACTCCAACCCAGTGGAGCATGTCACCGCCTTCTAGGCCCAAATGGCTCTGTATAGCACACCCGATGCTTTAATATGTCGGGCCTTTCTCACCACCCTCCAAGTTCCGACTCGGATGTGGTACAAATAGGTTGAGACCTTCTTTGATCTCATCCTTTGATCAGCTCGTAAGAGAGTTTGAGCTCAACTTATTGGCAAATGCTTGGCCCAAGCCATCTGTGGTCATGCTTCTTGGCTTGAGCTAGAAGGACGATGAGCCCCTTTCCCACTTCGTCGCTCAGTTCATCACCAAAATCAAAGCAGTCCCCAATACTCATCCTTCTCTGATTATGTAGGCATTCTTGATGGGACTACGTCTATCCGGGTTCTTTTGGTCGTTGATCGAGAGGCCATCGGTGACTATCCTAGAAATGCTCTAGCGAGCCAATCAGTATATGGTGGCCAAGGCATTGGAGGCTGGGAAGCACGAGGACCACAAAAGACAACGTGCGGAAAAGCCCCGAGGTCAGCCCACAAAACCATCAAAGAGGAGGCATGATCGATTAGACTGTGAATATTGGCTCCATGCTGCCAGAGAAGGACCAGGTCCAACTCATCAGTTTCTCGATAAAGAATGTCGACGTCTTCGCCTGGTCACCCAAAGTCATGTCGAGAATTGATCACAAGGTCATGCAACACCACTTGAACATCCTTCCCGAGGTGTGACCAATAAAGTAGAGGCCTCAGAAGTTCACCCTCGAATGGCAGAAGGTGATCAATGATGAGATGGACTGACTAATGGAAGCAGGGTATATAGCCAAGGCCAAATACCCTTAGTGGCTATCCAACATAGTCCTTGTCAAAAAATATATTGGAAGTTGGAGGATATGCATTGACAACACTAATCTTAATTGGGCATGCATGAAAGATTGCTACCCTCTCCCGAGGATTGATTAGTTGGTCAATATGACCTTAGGGTAGGGCACATCAGTAGTCATCACAGTGTGAACTTCCCGCTTGTAGGTGAAACTTCTCACCTACATGCGTCCCTTTGCTGAGCACATCTTGGCCACTCCGCCTGAGTACATCTCGGCTAGTCCATTGTCGACTACGTCTCAACTAGTCCTTTGCTGAGCACATCTCCACCAGTCTACTTGAGCGTGATAGGACGCTAGCTGGGTTGGGTCAAACTCAACCAAGAAGCAGCTAATAAAACCTTGTAAGATTGTATAAACCCCACCTAGCCACCTCTATCTTATAAAGAAGTGTGGCTAGGGTTTATATTTGGGTCTTTGGGCTTCCTAGTCGCCGCCCCCTTTTACTAGGCTGGTTGGTTAGAGTTGAGGGCAAAAGGGGTAACTCACTTAGGAAGCAGCCCCTAGGGCTAGGGTTTGGAGCCCTATATAAGCATGTAGCTTCTATCTCTTTAAGAATAAGATCTATCTACAATTGAAATCATTTGGTCGACTTCTAAGAGGGAGGAACCCCTATAGCGTTCCAAGTGTTGATCCCTCTCAAAGATCAATCTACATAGAATTCCTTTGGGGTTCTATCATCGGGTATCAGAGCAGATATCTTGCTGCATTTGCTGCCATCCCTGCCGCCCACCACTAGCCAAGCAATTCCTATAATTGCCCTTGACGTCGCCATCTCCACCGTCATCTTCTGTCATGGATCAAATCAATCTACTGCCGTCACCTCCAATTGCATCAGAGATCTGGTATTCTCCTATCACTAATACCTTTTGCTGTTGCAATTTTTCATTCAAAATACCAAGAAGAAGTCTTCTTATCTATCACGTGCTGCAAATTTCTTTTGTCATAAAAGTTATCATCTTTGCGAACAAAGGATTGCTACAGAAAATTTCAACTGTATATTGTTGCCTTTAACCGATCAATTTGCAATCCTTTTTGAACGAAATTTTTTATACGCTTCATAGATCATCTTGGCTTTCATCTAAGATTGATCTATTGAGGATTCATCTCTAAAATCATTCTTGTGTTGCTATAAATTTTCGTTGTAAATCGTTGAAATTTTTTGACGAGAATTTTGCTATCACAACTTGCACCAATTTCCTTACTGTTATGCTGCCGAAATTTTCTTGATTAAATTGGTTATCATTGCTGTTATATAAATCGAGATTTTGCTATCAAATTCCCTCCTCAAATCTCTCGGTTTTTGCTAGAAATTTCGTCAAGAAACCGCTATTTCTTCGATAACAATTCTGCTTTTACAAGATAACACATATCTGCATCAGCTTCCACTGATTTCTATCAAACCTTTGCTGCCATCTACCACAGATCTAAAACTTTTTTCCCTAACATTCATCCACTACCATCACAGCTCTAAAACTCCACTAAACCACACCCTCAAACTGTACCCAAAACATCCATAAAACAAGCCTAAACCGCAGCCTACATCCACCAATCCACTAACCCTTTTGACCACCACTTTTCTCAACCTATACATGCCTTTAACTCGACAACAAAGGAAAGATCTTAACATTACAGATTTGGAGGCATATACTATGACATCTAAGGAGGCAATCAATGCTAAATTCGAAGCCTTCGAGGTGCGAATGAAGGATAAGATTCAGACTCTCTTTACCGAACTTAGTTTGGGCCAACCACCAAGCCCAAAGAAATCACATCAAGGAGAGAGCTCTAACCAATCACACCAAGCCCGAAGAGATGACTTCGAAGAGAGGGGAGGCTCTATGACCGATCTCTACTATCCATGCATGAGGGTGGACTTCCCTAGATGAGAAGAAGGAGACCCAATTGGTTGGATCTCGCGCGCGTATTTTTGGTACCACAAAATCGCAAACGCATCCATGGTAGAAATTGCAGCTATACATCTTGAAAGGGATGTCATACGGTGGTTTGACTGGTTTGAACACACTCACTGAGTCCT